AAAAAATACGGGTTTCATTTCGAGACCTAAAAAAATACGTGGCTGGTCTCTTGCCCAAAAGAAATACCGGGAACGAAAATTGTCAACCCAAAAAAATACGTCGGACCTCCCCGTCATGTTACCCACCCGAGTACACCCCCTGGGATTCACGGTCACGTGTTAAGGTCACCAAAAAGTTCGGACATCGTTCTCGGATTCCCATACAAAAGAGAAAATTTAGATAGATTTCTTTAGTTAGCTCTCTTAACAGCAGTAAGAAAAGCATTACAATCAAGCTAGAAAAATGATCATTTACTTGTATTTAGAGAACTAACTAAACATTAACCAAGTAAATAGTTCATTTAGAGTCGGTACATTTGTACGGCAATTCGAGAACAATGTTAGAACTTTTTGGTGACCGTAACACAATCTAAGACAATTTATACCACGTGACAACTAAGCCCAAAATCCTTTCATATATTTTGGGTACTTTTTTAATTTCGAGGGGGGAGGGGGCGGGGCTTCAGAAGGGAGGGCCATGTGTAAAAATTTAAATTTTTGTGGGGAAAATATAAAGCATTCTTATTTTGACGACAGAAAGATAACACTCGATACACCAGTCTCGGCAATGTCACAGTGAAGATCATGAACCAACTTCGAAGGACAGACTGCCAATGATTGATCTTCTTATGAACCGACTGTTTGGACCATAATCCAGTTAGAATCCGAGTTTTGAATCGGTATAAATTATTTCAAATCCCGAGACTTGGTATTCTCAGAAAGAATGATGAATTTTCAATATTCGATCGATGACGAAAGCATTAATGGAATCTAGGGGGTAAGCTTGAACCGTTTTAGTACTGTAACAGCAGACCTCGTATATCGCTTGAGTCGCTAAAGGCCCTAGCCTCCTTTGCAGCCGCTGTGAGGCGCTTCCGGTTGACGGGAACCGGAAGCGCCTCACAGCGGCTGCAAAGGAGGCTATAAAGGCCCACGACTCTTGGCCACTCTTTTCCATGTGGGAAGCGACAAAAGTACAACTCATGACATACATTTACCAAAAAATACGAATCAAAATTAAGGTCCTTGAGTTTTTTAAACATTTATTATTATCCATACATCGAAAGAAATAAAAAAAGTCGTGGAGGCATTTTTGTTTTTCTTAGGCTTGAATGATTGACAATAGTAAATAAAATCCTCGTTTTCTATTGGCCAATAAAATGTCAGCAGTTGACAGGCTTCTAAATACCACATTTGCAAGACGTCTAAAAGGTGAGTTGTGCTTCTTGTCTATAGTCACGAAAAACACGATTTTCTTACTCTGAAACAGCTTTTAGCACTAAAGTACATCAAAAATCAGGAATATAGCTATCATTAAGCAGCTTTTTTCTAGAGAGAGATAGAATTTTTTATTGAAAAGCAAGCGAATTTGGAGAAATTTGTATGAACACGTTGCAAAAGCCGCTCTTTCGCTGACAATTTTTTAATCTGAACAGTAAATGATATATATATATCTTATAGAAAAAGGTCCTTTAAACCTTTCTTTAATTGTGTAGTGTTAAGTTAAGGGATTTGAATGTTTAGTTGTTCACTGAATCAAGTGCCTGTACAGACTTAAGTTATACAACTATTTCAAAAAACGTTGAATAGTGCATTCCGAAAACAAAAGTGCATCGTGGGTCTCGTTAATTTGAAATAAAAAATAACAGCAATTAAACTCTCTACATGTAGTAAGCATATTGTTTCAGATGGGATACACTGAAAATAGAATAAATAATTATTATTAATCCTACTTTAGACAACGTCACTATGACCTACAATGCACTTGGGTCTTGGAATGTAATATTCAGTATGCAGTATTCAGATTCAACCTTTTTGAAATATCTGTAATCTCGAAAACCAAACATAACTTTACTCTCAAATTCAAAATATTGTTCATAAATGCAAAAAATCGATAAAGTTTCTCGAAGGCACCAGTACCGTGTAGTTAAATAATCCTATTAGGACGGGGGAGGAGGGAGGGTGGAGGGGGGGAAGTAGTGAATTGCCGGTGATGCTCATATGTACCGGCTCCCTACGTACCGGGGACCCGACCGTTTTTTGATCTTGCCCTGAAGCGTAAGCATAGTAATGAAACATTTTAAGTGTTTTTATTGGAGCTTAAAAAACATGTAACAACTTGTCACAAGTTGTCTCATGAATCAAAACATGCTCAGAAAAGAGACAAGTGCGCATGTCAGGATCACGATACCGCTGACCAATGGAAAAGTACTAGCATTGCACAAATCTCCCTCACAGCAGTTGACGGTGCAGCTAACGGTGGCACCTAAGACAATTTTAACATTAGTATACTAGTATTCAATTGTATGCATAATTTGATAGGGGTAATAATAATAATAATAATAATAATAATAATAATAATAATGATGATGATGATGGTAATGATGATGTTAATATGCGGTGATGGTGATGGTGATGATGATGATGTGTGATGATGGTGACGATGAGAATGGTAATGATGGTGGTGGTGGTGAAGCTAAGAAATCCAAATTAAAACTTGTAGTGTAAAAAAGTAAAAGAAAAAAAAAACGGAATCGTGTTCTTTCGCAAGATTTGCAAACAAAAAAGACATCACAACCAAATTCTCCAGTTTCATGCCTATTGGAAGAATTTAAGGAACTAGCTGAAACACTCATTAAATACTTACCAGGCAACGAAATCTTGCACAATGGGTTATTATTGATCTCACAAGCGGCAGCCGATCCACAACCCTTGGTATAGCTGTGCGTCTTTGTGGTGTTGACTCCGGACGCTTTGATTTCGGTGCTGACTTTCAGTTTTATACATTTTGCGCTTGGACAGGTAATTTCTTTTTTGGCTTCATTACATTTGTCCCAGCTTTCAATAGAAGAACAGCTGTAACATTTGTCAGCTTGAACTAAAAAATAGGAGATATTGAGGTTTAGTCTCCTACGCAGCCGCTATTAGTGTCGTCACGCAACGTTCAGGGAAGGTGTCGTCACGCGACATTACACGAATTAGGAGACTAATTGAGGTTAGGCCTTTCGTTAATATCTCCTAGTTAATATATATATATATATATTATATACACAAGTCATTTCAAAGCCTCCAATATCGGACTGGACGGTATTTCAAGTCCGCGCAATTAACTCCAGTACTCGGCTGCGCCTCGGACTGCAACTAATTGCTTTTACTTTAAATCCCATCCAGTCCACATTGTTGGCTTTGAAATATTACCAATTTATAGCCAATTTATTAGCCAATTTATTCAAATGAAAGCCTTACCTGTGTATCATAAATAAGATTCTGTCACATACGTCTAGACATCATTGTTGATTAACATAAAATCCAATACTTGTACAGTATTATAGCCACACTCACATTTTTTGCTTAAACTTATCATAATTAGTTACTTAAAGTAGAGGGGTAGAAAGCAGAATATTGTAGAACGAATCCCCTATTCTTCAGAACACGATTCAACAAAATAAATCCGTTGCTATTTGCACAGTTCTGCAAATATGCCGTGCATAATACTATTTCGTTATCCTTTTCGCGATATGTAGATCCTTTGTCGATAGCCAAATGGACGCTTTCTATAACTGATTTCTTCAATTACTGTATTTTGATATTAAAATATTAAAGTCTGAATGACATATGTTTGTTTTCATAGTCTTTGATAGACTTGTGAACCGGCTTTTGCTATTTCACTGTGACCATCTGTTTCTATTTGTTTCACCAAATACACAACTTTTTAAAATCAGTTTTTACGTTTATTTTATATTTTCATGGTCATTTATTCTTTTCATTTATTCTTTTCGTTGGCTTCTTTTTGATCATTTCTTGCCTCTACTGTTGATTACTTTTGTTATTGTAGGTCTATAAAGCAGAGGCTACATGTAGTTTTAGACATAGTCGTAGTCATAGTCATGAAAAACGTATGTTTCAACGTTGCTAGTCAAAATTACATACTCTAAAAATATTCGCTGAAAGCAAAGTGATAAATGGGCTATTCCATTTAATATGCGCACCCGTCTATCGAGGATTGAGGTTTTTTATATTTCTACATGAACACCCTGAAGATATTTATTTCCTATTTACCACCCCTGAAGAATTTATTTACCTTGCTCTGAACACCCCTGAAGAATTAACAAAAGAAATTCGATTACCCCTGAAGATTATCTAATAGATAATTACTGAGGTACGCAGCATTCGAAGGTATAATCGGGCTACGCCCTCAGCTGCCTGCATTATACCTACGAATGCTGCGTGCCGAAGTGATTATCTAGTAAAATTATTGATCTTATCAAAATCAAAATTGTTTTCTTTCTAGCTTGTTTATCATAGACCGCCCCCGTTTTTCAAGCACACTAAATATGTCTGATTTTCCTCTATGCATTCGTTGGGATAATGCAGACTTAAAACAATGGATTTTGATAAGATCAGTAATTATATTACACTTCTTACGCCTGAAGATTTTATGATCCTCGATAGGGGGATGGGCATATTAAATGGAATAACCCATTTATTAATGGTGGAATATTAAGCGAACCGCGAGTCGCAAACACAAAAATAAGCTTGTATATATAGGGATTGTTATAGGACTTCATAAACGGGTATTCATTAGTAAAAGCACCATCTTAGATGGTGATCGACGCGTTTTTGAATCGTAACGACTGTTATCCAGTCAGTTTATACAACACAGCTGATGCAATGGTCTCGATACTGACTATATAACATAACTCTTGTCTTGACCATTTGCAGATATTTTAGTGATGCTGTGTCATTCGTCAATTTATTTCACCGCAAATCAAAACATTCACTTGTTTCCGTATGCATACAGCTCTGGCACCACAATGTTGGGTATAAACGCCTCGTATCAGTTCCCAAAGCAGTTCAGTTTGGAAGGTAAAACCATAGTTAGTACTCTACTAACTAGAGTGAAGTCATTAAACGCGCGAAATAGATATTAGACTAACACACTTTAGTAGACCTTAACTCCATTGTTTTCTTTTGTGTCTATTTGACTATTACACGTTGACTAGTATTTTTTATTTCACGGGTTTAATGCCTTCACTTTATGATAAAACAATGAAATATAGTGTGACTAGTCGATTCACCAGCAGAATATTGAATGGGAATTGAATTAACCTAAGGGGCCGAGTCTGTAGAGTAAGGGAACAGCTTTCACACGAAGCTATTAAGAACCAAAACAGTAATACTGTAATACCCATGTTATGAGTTTCGAGTAAGGAAACGCTCACCTTTGGCCACACAGCACAAAGCAACAAAAAACAGTGCAACCACCATTTGCTTCATGTTTCAGGTTTTTTCCCTCTGGATGAAACGATCAGCTTTTGTCTGTCAGATGGCGTTCTTTTCCGTGTCGTCTACCGCGATCGACGCTCGTCAAACAGCCAAATTGTATGAGACGCGGTTACGCCTTTCTCCAAAAAAGGCAAGTTCGACAAACAGCATTTTAGTCTGTTGCCATATAAGGCAGAGTGACCACAGGGAACCAGGCTTTCGGAACTTAATATATTTTTCTTTTAGAATTCTTAATGGCTTAACTCCGGTAAGTGTGGTTTCTTGTGGTTTGAAATCGGTTTACGGCTGCTTAAGGTGACTGTCTACTTTTAACATTTATTTCAAGCACACGATGTGCGCATGCTCAAAAACCGCTGAATAATCTACATAACTTTATTGAAGAACCATGCACGTTTTGAATTTTAAGAAGGCAAAACCAGCAAATTTTACGAAACAACTTTTGTATAGAGATTCCAAAATCGTACCAACGCATATCATTCCGTAGGATTAACTCATTTTTCTTCGCATTTTTGAAAATCAGCATTGAATTTGAGGTCGAAAAAGTTCCAATTTTTAATGTTCTGTTTATTATTTACTAAAGTAGTCAGCCACCTTAAGCTGTAATTAGATATGTAATGTTGGTATTGTATGGCGCGCGGAATGGTTCAAAACCTTCATTTCGATTGCAATTGAATATTTGTTTGTCAATTGCGTTACTCTCTTGAATGTGTACACTTATCAGTGCATTGCGTTACAAAAGAACGTCTCATGTTTTCTTTGTCAATCATTGCTTATAAAAATAGTCCAATTACGAAAATTCGGTCGATTTACAAAAGATCTGTCAATCACCAAAACTCGGTCTGTCTGCCTCTGTGTGTCTGTCTGCCTAGGTAGACTTAATGGAAGGTATGACGATAGCCTAGAAGTACACAACATGCCATCACAATATAATTCTCATGCAGTATTCTTTTTTATTTATTTGGACTTTCATAAAGTAATGAACATTTTATTACAAATATTCAGTAAACGAAAGCTCAGGACATTGTTGGGCAGTCTTCACAAACCTCCACTTCCCTCTGGCTCTACACTTCCTTCATTTTTACACTAGGAATTAATTATAATAATATTAATAATAATAATAATAATAATAATAATAATAATAACGATTATGATGATGATAAAGTCAATAACCATGCAGAACTCTAATTTAGAACAATATTTAAACCTTAATACTAAATAAACAAACGAACGAACGAACGAACGAACGAACGAACGAACGAACGAAAGAAAGAA